CCCATCCATTCCATTCATCCATCCATCCATTCATCCATCCTTCCACCCATCCATCTATCCACACATCCAGCCCATCCATCCACCCATCCATCCATCTTTTCAATCATTTCTTTATTCAGCAAACATTAACCAAACTTTTGTTTTAGAGAGAATGGAATCAGTTCAAAGGACTATGTATATATTTGAGCTCCTGTACCTGCCAAGCACAGTTAAATTGTTTTGTTTACATTATATCTTTTAACTCTGACAGTATTACAGGAGATGTGTATATAGTTTTACAGATTAAAAAAAATTCAGAGGGAGTAAGTAGCTCAGCCCACATCACCAAGCCCACAGCAGCAGGGCCCAGATTCACCTACCTGGGTACCTTCAGTTTCTCAGCTCCTGTCCTTTCCTCTCTGCCAGCTGCCTCTGCAAACGCCCCCTAGTGGGGAAAAGATCGCTGCGCACTGGTAACCGAGAGGGGTGAGGAGAGCCTGGAGTCCCTACAGGCTCTGATGACCCAGCTTCTCAGCAGCCCCACCCTGAGGGAGCCCCAGTCTGCCTGTAGGGTCGCCAGGCTGCATCCCCTGCCCTCACCTCCGCCCCGCTCCATTGACCCTCATCACGGTGGCCTGGTCTGCCTCCTAAGGAGCCCCCTGCCCTCCTGCCCCAGGGCAGTCTCCTTGGTGAATCACACCCACCGTCTCCCAACCCGCTCCACTTCCACATGGTCACAACTTCAGCTACCTGGAAGCCAGGTCCCTCCGACCACCTTCACCAGCTCTCACACCCTCCAGCCTACACTCCTTTGCCATCTTCTGGCCTCCACCTTATTTCTTGTCTCTCAATTTCACACCCTGGCGGCTTCTGAGTCTTTCTCAAACACACCCACGTCTCCTCCCCTTTAAGCTGTTGCTCCATCCTGTAGAGCCCACAGGTGCCTTCCCACCCTCCTCGGCATTCCCAAAGCCTGCCACTCCTTCTTGCACGAATCCCCCGCCAACCCTGGGAAGCCCCGAGCCCGGAGCCCCACTGGCTGGAAGTGACTTCTTGCCCTGAAGGCCCTCCGCATCTTACTGAGCCTGTGCCTGGTCGCACTGTCTCCCAGGAACCCACAAGCAGGGCGCGACTTCCTCCTCGCCACAAGTTGCCTGTGTCCCCTGCAAACATTAGCTTGGGGTAAGAGGTGGAGCGTATTACCCTACATAACAGGCCAGCTATGTGGCTGGTTAATGCAGACTGTGTTCTACCCAGAACTCTGCCTCTTCCTGACTATTCCGTCCCTGTCCTGAGGGGACACTGCCCCTCTGGTCACTCTGTGGTCCAGTCCTAGAAGGTATTCCTCCCAGCCTCAGGCCCCCGCCCTTTATTGTGAACTAGTCTAATTCTCCACCCGGGCCCCGCTCTCACCCTGTGGGATGGGCACCCACGGCCCACCAGCCCATCTTTCCTGCCATGTGTACTCCACTCACTCCAAGGTCCAAATGTCCCTCCTCCCCCTTTTCACTCCTTCTTCCATCCGTCCTCCCCCCTTACACACACAACCTTCCCCCCTGCAGATCTGATTTCTGCCACCGTGGTCCCTCACACTCGGAGTGTCTGTCTACTGTAGCCGTCCCCCCCACCACCATATGACTGTCACATCCTGCCCTGTGTGCCCAGGGCCAAGCGGGATCCAGGGCCAAGAGTAGGCACCAAAGAGCTGACCTGTCAGTGATTTTTCCTTGCTTTTCTCCTCTTTCTCCTCTGCACCCTCTGCCTTTCCTGTCTCCCTCCTGCCAGTGAGGCCCCTCACAGCCTTCCTCACACCCACAAACGGTGGCCCAAGGGTCCACGCGGCCGGGACAGAGCCCTGGCAGAGGCCTCGGGGTGGAGGACGTTGCTACCGCGTCAGGGCTCCCTGCTCGAATTCACTGCCTCGTCTGAGGGACTGGCTTCCCCAGATGTCAGAGGCAGAGCGTCTGCAGCATCAGTTGGGAAGTCTGAATGAGTCACTTCACTCTAGCTTCCCCCTCTGCATCAGGACACAGAAAAAGGCAACGCCACTTGTTTGTCAGAGCATGTGCCCTGGGGTGCTTGTCAGGCACACAGGCTCTGGAGTCTGAGCGCTAGGTTCCAACCTTGCCCCGGCTACTGGTGAGCTGTGTGACCCAAAGCCAAGGGCTTGACCTCTCTGGCCAAACTTCCCTCAGCTGTAAGCTGAGGACAATTATAGTCATTCAACAATAAGATGGTTACAATGGTCCGATGAATGGGTGTTTGTAAAGCCCTTAGAACCTATTTGGCACTTATTCATCATATAAATGCTAGTTATTACCATTTAAAAGCTGGGGAATGAGAGTTAGGCAGACACTGGGAGATGCAGAGAAAGTGGGAGAAAGTAGAGAATGGGTACTAAATGGTGAGAGAGAGAGAGAGAGAAAGGGAGAGAGAGAGAAAGGAAAAAACTCACATGTATATGATGATTGCGAGGTGCCAAGCACATCTGAAGGGCTTTGCAAATGTCAACTCACGTAGTCTTTGTGACAATTTTATGGTTGCAGCCCTACGATTACCTGCAGCTTGCAGATGAGGAAACAGGCACAGAGAGGTCAAGTGCCTTGCCTCTGGTCACACAGTGGCAGGGCCAATGCTTGTGGCCCTGAGGAAACCCAGCTACCTCCCCCCGCACAGTAGCATCTCCTCTTACTCATTCCTTCACTCGGGTACACGTTTATGGAAGGCTTCACACAAGCGTTTCCAGAGTGGGCCCAGGCTCTGTGGAGGAATTAGACAAGGAACTCCCTAAGGGAGTTCACAGACTGGCAGCTCTGGTCACACAGTACAATATGGAAAAGCCAGAGGTCCCCAGACAGACAAGAGGAGGAAGGGGGGGGTCCCTCTATAAGGGACTGGCATGTGCAAAGGTCATGTGGTACCTAACAGCTTCCTTCATGCAGAGCTTTAAAAAGCATGCTAAGAAATGTCAATCCCATAAGCCAGTGAGACTCCCCAATGAAAAATGTAAGTTCCATTCCCAAACATTCTGATATGCACAGTCTGGGGCTGGCCCAGGAATCTCTGATTTCACACGTTCCCCAGGAGCTTCTAATTGGAGGGCCCCTGGACCACACTTGGCACTTGAGGAGCCCCAGTCTGGATGGGGAGGAATATGAGCAGATTCAGAAAGAGCCCTCGGGCAGCCTGGTGGTGACAGAGTGGAGGAGCAGGAGGTGAGGAGGTGAGGTCCAGGGAGTCAGGGAGGCCATGAGGGGAAGCTGGTGGAAGGGTTCAGGGGGCAGCACCAAAACTCAGGCTGTACAGGGGAGACCAGAAAGGAGGGGAGTAATTCTAAGTCTGTCTAAGGAACACAGTCAGCCCCTCCTGGCGACTGTTTGGATGATGCAGAAGGAACGGGCTCGGGAGTAGATCCAGCTTTAAGGCTCAGCCAGCCAGGCAGTGGGCCTCAGTTCTGGCGACAGCAGGTAGAAGAATGAGCCTGCCAATGTCCACACAGGGACACAGTGGTGCTGGGGTCAAAGCAGTCTCCCCTGCTGGCCTACAGCTCCCTCCCCCGATCCCCACCCCTACTGCCCAACTCAGCTCAGGCCCTGGCTTCCAAGCAGCTCCTGGTGGGTGTTGGCTGAGTTACAGGGTTAGGCCCAGAAGCTCCTGGGTGGTCATTTGCCTATACCTGCATGCCCAGGAGGCCAAGGTGCTGTGAGAAGATACCCAAAGGAAAGTGAAGGGCGCATCAGAGGCTGCCAGGCCTCCCTCACCTGTCTCCACCACAGGTTTACAGGAGCCGCCGTCTCCGTGAGCGAAGGGGCCTACTTTGTGGCTCAGCTGCTGGCCATCTGCTTCCAGTAAGTAGCCTCCAGAGTGCTCCCCACCCCACCCCTGCCCCAGACACCTCCAGATGCCGCCACCCGTGAGCCCACGGCCCAGAGATGTGCTGTTTCTGAAGCAGCCCTGGACGAGTTCCCCCTTATGGGCTCAGGTCCGTGGGACTCAATGGTCCCTTTTTCCCTTCCCCCAAACGGAGTAAACTGACACAGCTATTCAGAGCCTGACCCCACCCAGAATCCCCCTGCAGAGGCGATCCCCATCCTCCAGACTGCCCTCTGAGTCACCCACCATGGGGTAAGGGCCCCACCAAAGAGCGGCTTGGAGCGCGCAGAGCGGGCTTGAGAGCTGACTCTGCCTCCTGCTGGGACCCCAGGGCAAGTCAGAGTTGTCAGCCTCCAGGCCCTATTTGTGAGGGCAGGAGGGCAGACCTTGCAGGGTCTCGGGAGGCCAAATGGCCGTACCTGCTGCCCAGTCATGCTCAGTTCATGGAAGCTGTCATTCGTGTGGCCAAGGGTTGGCCCTGGACCACCCTTCTCAGAACCTAGACAGCTGGTCTCTAGATGGTCAACAAAAGAGCCAAGCTTCAAACCCAGCTGTCCTGGCATCTTGCAAGGGCACCTGCTGCCTCCCAGGGTCACCATCCCGTAGGTAGCAGGCTTCCTCCATCTGCTGAACGCCACTGCCAAGGGACCTTTGCAACTTCTCAGGGCAGAAGAGGGAGGAGCCCTGAGCCTAAAGGGGCATTTTACCCTCTCTGGACTCCCTCCACTCCAAGCCAGGGTCTTGGCACAAGACAGTGGCCACCAGAGGGCACCAATGAGCCATGGGAGCAGGATGTGGGAGGAGGGCTGTGCTCTGGGCCAATATCATCCGCCATTCTCCAGCCCACACCACTCCCGCAAAGCTAGCCTGGACAGGATGCAGCTGTACAGAGCGCTGCTCCAGGGCCAATTCAAAGGATGAAGGAGATGGAGGCAAGCATTTTCCTCCTTTGCAACCTGGAGGCAGCTCCCTAAAGAAACCTGCCCAGCATCAGGCCTCTGCCAGGTCCATATGTGGTTCCTATGTACCAATTAACAGAGAAGCCCCTCTGGGCAATGCCGTCTCACACCTAGGCAAGGTTCCTATGAGCAGCGTGCAGCTGAATTCCAGCCCTCTCGCCCATGTGGCCAGGCCCCTTGTGCAGTGCACAATCCTTGCAACCAGCCCAGCCAGGTGTCTCCTATACTGCACACTTTCTTCACTGCACTGTGGACTTCCCAGTGTGTCCCCCCAAGTCTCCTACTCTCCTTCCCACTGCCTTTGCAGCATCCTGAGCATTTACCTTCCTCTCCTCTAAACCAGAAAGGCAGGGCTGGGGGGCCTTTCAGGAAAAGTGTCAGAGACCCTCTGGAGAGGCTCAGGCAAGATCCTTAACTGTGGAACCCACAGTGAGGACTTCAGCCCCTGGCAGGTGTTCAACCAGGGGACGCTGCAGATAACGTGGCCACGGTCAGACCCCATCCCACACTCGGATGGCTTTGTATTGTTGCTACGGGTTTCTGGTCACTCCCTGCTTCCTGCCAATCCTGGACTTCCTCCCCCTAGGTGTCAGCCAGGGTCCCTGGCCCACAAAGCAAGGGAGAAGGCCCACTGGCTGGGCTGCTTCCAGAGGTTCCTGGCCTACATGCTGCTGTCTGTGGCCTGCTTCCTCCACCCGGTCCTGGTCTGGCACGTGACCATCCCAGGTAGGAGCTCCAGGATGTAGAGGAGGCTGGAAGCCCCCACCGCGGGTAGGCTCTGAGCCAGAGGGGCTGAATGCTCCTCGAATGGGCTGGCAGTGACGCTGGCTCCAGGGCCCCACGGGCCCCATGGGCCCCACTGTCCTCCCTGGCATGGATCACAGGGATGAGGAACTGATCACGTGGCAGGAAAGTCCCAAGAAACACATCTTTCACATAGGTGTCCAGAGGCTGTACCCACAAAAGGGAGATGACCTTTCCTCCAATGACTGTGTGTGGTCTGAGCTTTCAGAGGGGGCACTTCTCTGTCCAAACCCTTCTGTGTCTCCCGAGCATCTATCCATTCAGGTCCAAACTCCCCAGCCTGGTGTGAAGAGCACACCAAGATGGGATCCTGAAAGACTCTGGTACCCCCACCCTCCTCTCACACTCCACTGACCCTGCTAATCATTCCCGTATCTGACGTCAGAAGCCAGAACTTGATGCTCCCACCTCCTGAATTTTGACCATGACCTTTTCTGCTAGGACATTCTCTCCCCTCCTCCCTGGCTGTGAAAATTGCACCCCTCTTCCCGCTCCCATCTAAATAAAATGCCAGGAAGCCGACTGCCCACGGACATGAGGCTGAGAGACAGTCGCCTCTTTCTTCCTGCAGTTTCCCTTAAAGTACCTGTCATGGCCTCCCAGGGCCACTCCAAGCAGCTGTCAGTGGACTCCCGAGTAGGACTCAGCGCAGCCAAAGCCAGAGCAGCCACCACCTCCCACTCCTCAGAGAGCCTGAGATGCACAGGAGGCTCTGGCCCTGGCAGGCGGGGCAGCCACCTTCAGCCCTTCCTCTGGGCAAGGCTTGGGGCAGGGCAGGGGCAGGGGGTGCATCTGGGCTGAGGGCTGAATGAGGGGCCAGAAGGGGAGTCCACGCTCTGCTAGCTGCACCCAAAGGGATTTGCAGTTTCCTCTGTGTTTATCAGGCAGGCTGCAGTGAGGACGACCTCCCCGCTTCCTGGGAATGGAAGGAAGCCCCGTTCGGCAGTAGGGGCCTGGTACCCAACACGGAGTCCAGGTCTGTTGAAAGCACTGCAGATCTAGCCCCAACAAGCCATCCCTGAGAAGGAGGCTGAGTGTGGAGATGGTAGGACAGGTGGGTGGCACAAGGATCAGCTGACCAGAAGAAGGAGGCCTCCAGCACAGGGTCTCCTGGCCATTGGTCAGGATGAGGGCCGCAGCATAGCACTGGCCCCACTGACATCCCTTGGCCAGGCGTCAGGCCTGCCACACGAGTCTGATGTGGGTATGTGAGGAGAAGTTAGGCCTGAGGGCTGGAACTCCGGGGGCCTGAGTGTGGCCATACAGGCGTGCCACAGTGGCCCTCTGGAACAGTGGGTGTGGACAGCCCCTGGCTTTTCTCCGGGGCACATCCAGCATCCTGACCTCCCAGATCTCTTCCAGGCTCTATGCTCATCATCACTGGCCTGGCCTACTTCCTGCTGAGCAAACGGAAAAAGAACAAATCTGCCCCCGAAGCGCTGGCCCCCCCGGAGCAATACACAGACCCCTCCGGCAGTGCTGTGAGCACCACTCGCTCTGGGGACACAGAGCAGACCTACACCTTCCACGGGGCCCTCAGGGAGGGGCCCGGCTCCCTCTTCACCCACATGAAGAGCATCCTGAAGCGGACCAAGAAGCCCAGCACCCTCCCGCGTCCAGATGCCCTGACGGAGCTGATGTTGGAGCCCGCTGACTCACTGGCCAAGAAGAAGCAGGTGCACTTTGAAGACAGTGTGGTCAGAATCATCCCAGCTCTAGCCGAGGGCCTGGACAATGGGGACAGCGAACCAGAGGAGACCACCTCTGACACCACCCCCATCATCCCTCCCCCCGAGGCCCCCCTCTTCCTCTCTTCCCTCACGAGCACCGGCCTCTTCTGAGCAGCTTGTTCCAGGCTGAGGGGTCCTCAGCAAAGTGTCTGCAGAGACAGATGGCAGCCCTGCCTGGAATTTCCTGATGTCAAAGGGCCCCCCAGGGAGCTCAGGGTCTTCACAGGTCAGCTGTTCAAAGGGTGACCTGACATCCCTGCGGTGGCTGGGCCTCTGGGGCCATCGAGTGGCATGACAGATCCTTTGGAGACCTTGAGGGCAGCACAGATGACGCTCATGCTGCCTCGAGCCCACACAGGTTTGTCCCTTCTGGACATCGAGTGGAGAAATCCTTGTGTTTTCCCCCAAAGAGAGCATAGCACAAGGCTGCCTCAGCCCAGGAGAAGCCAGAGGTCTTCTCTTGCTCCTGACACAGGGCCTAGCACTCACAAGGACTCATGGCCCAGCTCATCTTGATGTGACATTTCACCTCTGAAGGCCCAGAGATGCTTCGGCCACTTACGTATCACAAACGCAGGTGTCGACGGTGCCCGTGGGTCCGGAACTCCAACCAACTGAGATTGTTGAGGATGAGGAGTGGGGAGGGAAGGCAGGGCTGCAAGCCCTCGGGGTAGGAGCAGCCCCAAGCCGGGGGCAGCATTCTCTGCGTGCTCTAGGGCTGGCGCCTGGCAATAGGAGTCACAGGGCGACTCGGGGAAACAATGCTGCTCTGTGCTTGCTACTGGGAAAGCCAGGCCAGATAAATGATGTTCATTCCAGAAGCATCTCTGAGGGCCCCCTGCATCCCCACCACATGGGCTCTCAAGATTCCAAGTAGATGATGTAAACTAGAGATACTGAAAGCCGGTGACAGTCTGGCAGTGCAGGCCAGCACACAGGACAAGGCGCCTGCTGTGAGCAGGGACCACAGAGGCGGCAACCTGGAAACTCACGTAGCGCGGAGAAGGGCCTCTGCCACGCTTCGGTGACTGGTAGCAGAATAGGTGATAAATGTGTCTGTTCAAGATGGGAGCGAAGGAAGGAAAAGGGGAGAAGAGGGAAGATAGGAAAGTAGGCAGGCAGCTGCCTACCCCTCTGCTATGGGGCTTTGAAAGTGACAGTTAACCCAGAATGAGGGGGAGGGTGTAGCTCAGTGGTAGAGTGCATGCTTAGCATGCATGAGGTCCTGGGTTCAATCCCCAGTAACTCCATAAAAAAAAAAAGAGCAAACCCAGAATGAGCAAAGAAAGTTGAATCAGATATTCCTTAGTTAAGTATATATATTTTTTAAAGTGTTCGGTCCATGGGATTGTTGCAAGGCGGAACAGATACATTGTTCTCCACAGGCAATCCTAATTCATGAACAATCTGAAGAAACTGTTATATTGCTGCCCATTCGTGTGTGTGTGAGCAAACGCCAGGGTTCTGCAGAAAAAGCCTTAGAGCACATGCTTCAAGGTCTCGATAAGAAATGTGTCCTCATTCTCATTCTCATACACTTTTCAACACTCCCTACAGGTTATTTTGCAAATATGTGGAAATAGCAACCAGCAGCTAGTGTCAGTTTGGTGCCTGAATGCAGCAGGTGCACCAAATGAGCAGACTTCTCCCGGCAGTAACCCAGATCTCCCATGAACCCAAGTGAGAAAAGACAAACATGTTCTCATAAGCCCTCAAAGGTGGAAGCAGTAGAGCTGTTTCTGTAGCTGCCACCAAGGAGGGACGTCAGGGTCTGAGAGTCACAGCTGGAAGAGAAGAAACAGTGTGGAACGTGGGCGTGGGTAGGCAGGGATTGTGCCCAATTCCTCAGGGGCCAGGTGTCTGCACAGAAGGAGCCAAGTGGGGAGGAGCCAGGGTCCCCACCTGTCACATGGGGAGGGGAATGTGATTGGCACAGACACCCTCACGGCACAGGTTCCCTGGGGAACCTGATGGTCCTGCTCCATTCTCAGCCCAAGTCAGCAGAGCTGGGAGGATGACAAAGTCTCAAGAAGCCAACTTGAAAGTGTAATTTTCAGAGTTTTCAGACCCCATTTAATAAATCCCTCTGTAAACCCAAGTGCTACAGCACCAGTCTGGATGTGTCTTCAGGGTGAGGTGGGCGCTGGGAGTTCAGGTGATATGCATGTGATTTGGAGACATCTAGGCTTCCTGGAGCCTGTCATCAGTTAAGGGCACCTGCTGGGTGTCTACTGAGTGCATTAGAGACGTAGGTGATTGCAAACTTACCTAGGTTAGCAAGTAAAGTTCTTCAACACTCTTATTGCCGACCTGCCCCCCAAAAGAGGCTAGGATGAGATCATTAAATAGACCAGAGTCTTCATCTCTGTCAGTAGACCAGGCAAGAAAGTGGCTCCTTCCTTACAAGCAGGTGAACACCACGTCTCCATTTGATTCTCAGCCCCAGACCCTACAACTACATCCTTATCTACTGCTATCCCTGCGAAGATGTAACGACCCCCATCCTCAGTGGGACCCGAAGACCAGAAGGGCTGACCCTGTTGTAGCCTGCCTCCCTCCTCAGTCGGAGACACAGCAGATGTTACGTGGATGGAGAACAGAGCTATTGGAGGGAGACCACCGGGCTGAAGATCATTAAATCTGATCTTAACAGGCTGATTGACCTTGACCAATGCCCTTCACCACTCTGGTTTCAGGTTCTTCTGTTAACTGGGAATAACAGCACTTCTCTCGGGACTGGCGCATTAAGTCTTGCAAGAAAAATGGAGAAAGTGCTTTTCAGAAGACAAATCACCCAACTTGGTGTGAGTGCGTGTTCCTCTTACTGTGGGGGCCTCAGTGGGAGGAAGCCCCAAAGTAAAGAAGCACTGAGGACACATCGCCAAGGCTTGTCTCTAGGGCAAGGCCAATGCAGGTCTCAACTCCAGACTCCAGGGCTTGAGGCTGGGGCTGGTGTAGACCCCATCCTCCAGCTTAGACAGAACCATCATAACAGATCCCCAGTCATGAGGAGCCATGTCCTGGGGGTCATCCAGTATTCCAAAATCTCTCCCATCCATCCTAAAGGAATTTTTTTTTTTTTTAGTTTTTAAAATACCTTTACTGAGATACAATTTGAGTATCATAAAATTCACCAATTTAAAGTGTGTAATAAAGTGTTCTTTGTTAGATTCATATTCAAGTTCATCACAGTCTAAGATCACAATATCTTCATCACCCCTAAAACAGTTTGTTACCCATTAGCAATTATTCCCCCATCCCACTTCACTCCTACCCTGACAACCACTAATCTACTTTGTGTATTTATAGATTTTCCTATTCTGGACACTTCATGGAAATTGAATCATACAATGTGTGGTCTTTTGAGACTTGCTTTGTTCACTTAGCATAATGTTGTCAAGGTACATCCATGTTGTAACATGCATCTTTATGTTACTGCTTTCCATGGCTGAATAGAATTCACTTATATGAATACACTACTTGTGTTTATCCATTCATCAGTTGATAGGCATTTGTGTTGTATCCATTATGTGGCTATTATAAATGATGCTGCTATGAACATTTTCATGTACAAGTTTTTAGGTGGACATATATTTTCATTTCAAGTGGCATTGCTTTGATCAAGTGGTAACTCAATATTCAACTTCTTGAGAAACTGCCAAACTGTATACCAAAGGGGCTGCACCATTTTACATTACCATCAACGGTGTGTGAGGGTTCTGATTTCTCCACATCCTCATCAATATTTGGTATCGTCTGATTTTTTTTATTATAGTCACCCATTAATTATTTTTTTAATTAATTATGGTTTTGATACACATTTCCCTAATGCCTAATGGTTTTGAGCAACTTTTTATGTGATCATTGTCCACTTATATATCTTCTTTGACAAATGACCATTCAAGTGCTTTGCCTTTTTTTAAATTGGGTTAATTGGCTTTTTACTTCGAATGTAAGAGTTTTTTAAAAATATATTTTGGATACTAGACTTTTACCAAGTATATTATTTGAGAACATTTTCTCCCATTCTGTGAGTTGCCTTTTTACTTTCTTGATAAAATCCTTTGAAGCACAAAAGATTTAGTTTTGGCGAAGTCCAATTTATCTATTTTTTTTCTTTTGTTGCTTATTCTTTTGTGGTCAAATCTAAGAAACTGTTGTCTAACCAAAGGTTATGAAGATTTATTCCTATATTTTCTTCTAAGAGTTTTATAGTTTTAGTTCTTAAATTGAGAAATATGATTAATTATAAGGTAATATTTGTGTACGGCATGAGACAGAATCTAATTTAATTGTTTTACATGTATTTATCCATTTGTTTTGTCACCATTTGTTGAGTTGAATTGTCTTGGCAAAAATTTATAGACCATAAAGGGTTTATTTCTGGACTTGCAACTCTATTCCACTGACCTGTGTGTCTATCCTTCTAATATTACTACACTGTTTTGATCCCTGTCACTTTGCAGTAAGTACGTTTTGAAACCAGGAAGCATGAGCACCCTACTTTGTTCTTTTTCAAGATCATTTTGGCTATTCAAGGTCTCTCATGCTTCCATATGAATTTTAGAATCAGCTTATCAATTTCTGCAAGAAAGCAAGCTGGAGTTTTAATAAGGATTTTACTGACTGTGCAGATCAATTTTGAGAGTGCTCCCATCTTCACAACGTTAAGTCTTCCAACTGATGAATATGGGGTATCTTTCCACTTATTTAGATCTTCTTTAATTTCTTTCAATATTGTTTTACAGTTTCCAACGTGCAATTTTATTTTATTTTAAGTGTTTTATTCTTTCTCATGTTTTTTTAAAGTGGAATTATTTTCCTTTTTTCCCCAGCTTTATTGAGGTATAATTGACAAATAAAAATATATATTTAAGTGTATAATGTGATGATTTGATATATATATATATACATTGTGAAATGATTTCCAGTCAAGTTAATTAACAAATGTATCACCTGTCACCTCTTGTTAAATTTTATTTTCAATTGCTAGTATGTAGAAAGATGAATGGTTTTTGTGTATTGATCTTATCTCTTGCAAACTTACTGAACAAATTTATTTACTTATTTATTTTTTTATTTCAATTATATAATATAGTTTATCAGCTGTGGTTACTGTGTTTTACATTAGATCCTCAGACTTTACTCCTCTTATAACTGAAAGTTTATATCCTTACCAACTTCTTCCTATTTACCCCACCCCTCAGCCCCAAATATAAGTGACACTATGCAGCATTTGTCTTTTTCTATGTGACATTTTACTTACTATAATCCCCTCAAGGTCCATTTATGTTGTTGCAAATGGCAAGATTTCCTTCTTTCTCATAAATAATATTCCATTTTATATATGTGTATATAATATATATACACACACACACATATATATACACACATGTATATATACATACACATATGTATTTATATATCATATCATCACATCTTATATATATAACATCATATATATTATATATGTATTATATATCACATCTTTTTATCCATTTATTTGATGGACACTTAATTTGTTTACATGTCTTGCCTATTATGAATAACAGTACAATGAATGTGGGAATACAGATATCTCTTCAAGATCCTGTTTTTATTCCCTTTGGATATATACCCAGAAGTGAGATTGCTGAGAGGAAATCCCAGGTAGTTTTCTATAGTGGCTGCACCAATTTACATTGCAACCAATAGTGCTCAAGGGTTTCCTTTTCTCGACGTCCTCGCCAACTGTTATCTCTTGTCTTTTTATTCTTTCACCTTTATTGAGATTCAGGATTACAAAGTGGGAGGCAAACAGCACTCTGTAAGTTTAAGGTGTATAACATAATGATTTGACTTGCATATATTGTGAGATAATTACCACAATAAGCTTAATTTACATCCATCATCTATGTACATACACCAGTAAGTGCTTAATGAATATTGGTGGCTCGTGGACATCACAAGAATAAAAAACTATTTATCAAGATCAATAGTCCTCATGAATATAGACACAAAAGTCCTCAACAAAACACAGCAACTGTAAAACAACCCAACAACATATGAAAAGGCTTGTTTATCATGAGCGGGATTTATCCCAGGAATATAAGGTTGGTTAAGCATTTGAAAATTAGTGAATGTAATAAACCATATCAATAAAATAAAGGACAAAAAAATACGATCATCTCAAAAGATGCAGAAAAAGCATTCCAATAACCTTTCATGATAAAATCACTCAACAAGTTGGAAATAGAAATTTCCTCAACCTCTTAAAAGGCATCTACCAAAAAAAACCTAGCTAGCGTCATGCTCAGTGGTGAAAGACGGAATGCTTTCCCTGGGAATCAGGAGCAGGATAAGGATGTCTGCTCTGGTTCTATTCAATGTTGTACTAGTGGTTGTAGCCAGGGAAATTAGGCAAGAATGAGAACTAAAAGGCTTTCAGATTGAAGCTTCCAGGAAGCCAGGAGTATGGTCCCACTTGGCTCTGCTGAGATTTGGGGTCTTTGGTCCTTCCTCATATGTAACATGAGGGAATGAGGTCATTTCTAAAGATCCTGCTAGCTCCAAGCCTCAGGAACGCCCAGCTGGGCCCATTAACAGGGAGCAGTTCCCCAGACCTCAGAGCAGTCCCAAGGAAAATTCAATACTGAGGCGAAAGATAGGCTGTGTGATTTTTTTTTACAGCATGAGTTTCCAGGAGATTTGTATAGTCTCTTAGGACAGGGATCTGGGGCAGTGGGGAGCATGAGCGCTGCAGAAGTATACCGAAAGATACTGGGGCAGGTGCAAGAACCCATCCAATGAAATGTTTACCGCCTAATGGATATTGAAAGCCTTTGTGAGTCTCAAATCAAATTTCACTTTAAAGAGAAGATGACAAGTAAAGTAAATGGGCAGTGCCTGTGATGATTCATTTGTCCCTAAACAGCAGCTTGTGCCTGAGGCTGGGCATGGCCCAGAGTGGGGGTGAGGGCCCACAAGCCCACGATCACTTCAGTTTCCAGTTTCCAGGAAACTCGGTGAGATGTTTGCAGGTCCCGTGTCTCAGGTTCCTCTTTCCAAAGTGGAATACATTTCTAAACCAGCAGCACCGGTATAAACTTAGAGAGTAGGTTGCTAAGGACAGGAGACCATTTAACTCAACAAATACTCATGAAGCACTTACTGGTGGGCCAGGTGCTGGACTAAAGGGGTGAATGTGGCCGACATGAGGCAGAGGTGAAACTGCAGACAATGTGCCATGGGAGATGAATTTAGAGGGAAATCTAAGAAGGTAGATTTGTATTGAGCTTCAGAAGGACTAGAATATCACCAGGTATGGAATTGTCTATCCTGGGACAAGGGAAGTTTGGCCAAATCCATTGGAATCTGAAGTCAGTAGATTTGTTTCCAATATATAACAAAGATGTGTGTGCAGGAGAAAGAGCATAAGGCAAAGAGCCCCACCAACAACAATGACAATGACCATGACCATGGACAGAATTGAGACCTGAGTGTGTGCAGGGCATTCGGTGCTTTGCATATTCCATCTCCTCTAGTCCTCACCACTGTCAACTGAAATAAATTGCACAACCTATAAGCTGAGATTTATGTTTTAATCAGTAGACTTTCTGAGGACTCGATCCTGGGAGGCAGCCTCTCAGATCGCTCTAAGAGACTGTTTCGCTGAGGCAAGGGAGAAGCCAGGACATATAGGAGTTATTGCAGCAAAGACCAGGTTGTTGGAACATCAAAAGATTACTGTTAATTAAAGAAAATGAGATATCTCAAGTTAAGGAATTTAGCGCTCTTCTCTGTATGGGAAGGTGCAAAGGTCAGGGCTCATTGAAATCATTCTTTTTATAGTCACCTAGCTGTCTAGGGCCAGTATCCTGTCCACATCCTGAGTTCCCTCAGGGGGCACCGTTGGGGGTGGCAGCACCAGCTGGGCTGCCTGCTTGTTGGCATCCTGCGCTCCTTCTGCTCTGTCGGGGGTGACCGGTAGTGGCTGATGACTTGATGGCCACAGCATCCTTTGTTTACTGATACAGCTGGTGATATTCTTCATTCATACCACCTATGAGGCAGGGTCTTTTACAATTACATGTTATGAATGGGTAATCACAGCACAGAGAATTTAGTAACTTGCACACTGGCATGCAGCTGCAAAGCAGTACAGTCAGTATTCATTCCAGGCTCCAGAGATGGGACTCTTAACATGATCACGAGAAGAAAGTCTTAGATTGGCCACAGACCTCAGCAGCCCATAGCCTTGACCACACCGCCTTCCCCTGGGCCTCTCTCCCTCTTTTTGAATGAGAAGAGTGTTGACCAGAAGACCCTAAGTTCCCTTCCATCCAAGTCATCGGAGACATTTTTCCTCAGGGGTGGATGGAGAGGCAGAACGGAATAAGGAGGAAGGAAAGACAAAGGCGAATGGGGAGAGCTAACTTAGGAAGGACGAGGCAGAAGGCCAGTTCCCCACTGTGGCTGTGACTGTTTACCTCACTTTTCACCCCTCTCTTGGATGCCCGGGGGCGGTTTCTATTCTGAGCACTAAACACTCAACACTCCCATCCCAACACACAGAGAGCCTGAGCAGGGCCTGACTGGCTCTCCTGCCCCCAGCGCAGTCAGTGCTGTGCGGTCACACAGCCAGAGGCCTGGCACCTTTGCGATTCCCCTGGTGGCTGGTGGGTCTGAACAAAGACTGGAAGTTGCCAAGCCTGCCCCTCAGTCCCAGGACTAAACCCCCAGCCTCAGCAGGGTCTCCCCTGCCCTATGCAGGTGAGAAGTGACTAAGCATACATCTCTTTGACACTTCAGAAGACAGCATCAACTCCCAAGCTACCCTCTGGTTTCCTTCCAGTGGCCCAGGTCCCCTGCTGCCCCTGCTTGCTGCGCTCCAGGCCCTTATAAGGAAGGTCAGCAGAAAGGGGCCAGCCAGCACAGCCTCCCAACAAGCCTCTTGCTCCCCTGAGCCCAGAGCCCCCCCCACCCCACTAAGGCCTCCCAGCAGCCAGTGGGGGTCCTTTCTGAACTCAGGTCCCCACTGCCACACTTCATTTCTCCACCAGCCCTTTATTATTTTTTTTAAGATTTTTGTTTTTAACTTTTTGTGTGTGTTTCTATTGAAGCATAGTCAGTTTACAATGTTGTGTCAATTTCTGGTGTACAGCACAATGTTTCAGTCATTCATATACATATAGATATCCGTTTTCATATGCTTTTTCATTACAGGCCACTACAAGATATTGAATATAGCTCCCTGTGCTATGCAGGAGAAACTTGTTTATCTGTTTTTTTTTTAACATTTTTTATTGATTTATAATCAGTTTACAATGTTGTGTCAAATTCCAGTGTTCAGCACAATTTTCAGTCATACATGGAC